GGAGACCGGGAGAAGCTTTTCTCGCCCCCGAGGACACGGGGGGCGACCCGCCGCCCGTGAGCTCCGGGGCGAGAAAAGCCCCGTTCGTAAGTGCGGATCCGACGTAAGTCGGGGACTGCCTGTAGTGTGAAGATACTGTCAAGCTGGAGGATTTCTTACTCCAACTCCTGTAACCACACAGTATGAGAAATAAGAGAAGTCAGAGGAAGAGTGCTCTATTTCAAAAGAAGTACTGTGTGGATGCTCCCTATTTTGAAATAAGCTATTTCAAAATAAGATATACAATTGGCGTAGCTCCATTTGCGTAGCTTATTTTGAGTTAAGCCCTGCAGTGTATATGCACCCCTAGGTCATTTAGGCCTTGCAACACTGAGTGTAGCAATGTGTAATCTCTTTAAAAATCTGGGCTCTAGTCTCTAGTTTAAACAAGCCTTTTACCTTTGTCAGTAGACAGGTCTCAGCTATAGGAATTGGCCCTTCCATGTGATCCAGGTTTCCTCCCATTCCTCCGCTGTATATTGGGCATCCAGTTCTGAGGTGGGTCTGTATGTTGTCTACAATCTCCCTGTATGCCTTCTTTTTATACAATGCCTCTCTCAACTCCACCAGTTCAGAAACTCTGATGTCAAGATATTGAACTTTGAGCTCTGGAAACCACTGGCTGCTTGCACTGGAAATATCGATATGCCATTTGGCCAGAAGGGAATAGAAGTGCACATGACACCTTGGACAGTAATCTAAGCAGCCTCCTTTGTTGCTGTCCTCCAACTTCCAAAATGAAACTGTTTTTTTTATTCTGTGACTGGTCAGTAGGAATAACTTGGTGCTACCTGTACTTTTGCATTAAAAATGCTATTCTTGATTTTTCTTGTTTACCAGATTTTATTCACTTTATTTCATTAATCACAAATGTACCAAACTATTCTCCCTCAGTCAAGTTCCACAGTGTCCAAACACCCCTTTGCTCTCTCACTCTGCCTGGATCCTCTCTGAGCTTCTGAATA